TCAAATTTGGCTCTTTGATAGTTACACCACATAGAAGATTTACATTAAATTCGCTTTTTCCCTATATCCCCATCATCCTATTTATAATGTCCTACTCACTTTTTCAGTCTCTTCCCAAAATGATACTTTCACACATAGCAGGGCTAGTAAAGAATTCCCCTAAGGCAACTTCAAGTATTAATTGAAAACTAACTAATATGGAACTAATGCAAAATATGTTGTGAAAAGGGGGGAGGGGAAATGACCAATAAAGGATTGTGGAACAACATACAAAGCAAACATAAAACACATAAAAATAAGTCTACAAAGATGAAAATATTAATGTAAGGAAAAGCAATACTATCACAAAAATCAAGGTGAGTAGACACTGGTAAAAATGGTCAGAGACATGGAAAACAGGAAAATGAGCAAAGTGAAATGGAAAATAAGCTAGATGTTATTAGAGAAAAATAATAGATAAGGACGACAAAGAGAGCTCTATGATACATATATATAATTTGTGCTTCTAGGAAGAGAACAGAACAAAGATATGTTTTAGGAAAATTTGAGGAGAGTTTCATAAAGACTATGAATCTATAGGTTTCTTCTCAAAAAAAAAAAAAAAGAAATGGAAAATATTCATTCTATGAGGGCAATATTACCCTGATTCCAAAACCAGACTCCACTAAAAAAGAGAACTACAGGCCAATATCCCAGATGAACGCAGATGCAAAAGTCCTCAACAAAATACTAGCAAATCTAGTACATTAAAAGAATCATTCACCACAATCAAGTGGGATTTATTCCTGGCCTGCAAATGTTGTTCAATATTTGCAAATCAATCAGTGTGATACACCACATTAATAAAAGAAAGGATAAGAAACACATGATCCTTTCAATAGATGCAGAAAAAGCATTTGACAAAGTACAACACCCATTCATGATAGAAACCCTCAACAAAGTAGGGATAGAGGGAACATACCTGGACATAGCAAAAGACATATATGAAAAACCCACAGCTAATTTCATCCTCAGTGGGGAAAAACTGAGAGCTTTTCCTCTGTTTCTTCAGGAACAAGATAGGGATGTTCACTCTCACCACTGTTATTCAATATAGTACTGGAAGTACTAGCCTCAGCAATCAGAAAAATATAATAAAAGGCATACAAATCAGCAAGGAAGAAGTGAAACTTTAACTACTTGCAGATAGCATAGAATATCTATATAGATATCTATATCTATATAGAATATCCAAACGATTCCACCAAAAAAATTGCTAGAACTGATACACAAATTCAGTAAAGTCATAGGATACAAAATCAACATACAGAAATCTGTTGCATTTGCATATACCATTAATGAAGCAGCAGAAAAAAAAATTGAGGAATCAATCTCATTTAAAATTGCATCAAACACCATAAGATACCTAGGAATAAAACTAACCAAAGAGGTAAAAGATCTATACTCTGAGAAGTGTAAAACACTGATGAAAGAAATTGAAGATGACACAAAGAAAGGGAAAAACATTCCATGCTCATGGATTGGTCAAAATATCCATACTACCCAAAGCAATCTACACATTCCATGCCATTCCTATGAAAATATCACCAGCATTTTTCACAGAGCTTGAACAAACAATCCTAAAATCTGTATGGAACCACAAAAGACCATGAATAACCAAAGAAATCTTGAAGAAGAAAAGCAAAGCTGGAAGCATCACAATTCTGGATTTCAAGTTATATTACAAAGCTATAGGGATCAAGACAGTATGGTACTGGCACAAAAACAGACACATACGTCACTGGAATGGAATAGAAAACCCAGACATGAACCCGGAACTATATGGTTAGCTAATCTTTGACAAAACAGGAAATAATATCCAATAGAAAAAAGTCTCTTCAACAAATGATGTTGGGAAAACTGGACAGTGACATGCAGAAAAATAAACCTGGACCACTTTCTTACACCATCCACAAAAATAAACTCAAAATGAATGAAAGACTTAAGTGTGAGACAGGAAACTATCAAAATCCTAGAGGAGAGCACAGGTAGTAACCTCTTTGACATCAGCTGTAGCAATTCTTACTAAATATGTCTCCTGAGGCAATGGAGACAAAAGCAAAAATAAACTATTGAGACTTCATCAAAATAAACAGCTTCTGCACAGCGAAGGAAATAACAAAACTAAAAAGCAACCTATGGAATGGAAGAAGATATTTTCAAATGACATATCTTATAATGGGTTGGTATGCAAAATCTATAAGGAACTTATCAAACTTAACTTCCCCAAAGCAAATAATCTAGCTAAAAATTGAGAGAAAACATGAATAGACATTTTTCCAAAGAAGACGAATAGATGGTCAACAGACACATGAAAAGATGCTCAACATCACTCATCATCAGGGAAATACAAATCAAAACTACAATGAGATATCACCTCAAAGCAGTCAGAATGGCTAAAATTAACATCACACGAAACAACAGATGTTGGTAAGGATGCAGTGGAGACAAAGGAACCCTCTTACACTGTTGGTGGGAATGCGAACTGGTGCAGCTGCTCTAGAAAACAGTATGGAGGTTCCTCAAAAAATTAAAACTACCCTATGATCCAGCAACTGCACTACTGGGTATTTATGCAAAGTATATAAAAATATTGATTTGAAGGGATACATGCATTCTGATGTTTATAGCAGCATTATCAACAATAGCAAAATTATGGAAAAAAATGTCCATCAACTGATGAATGGATAAAGATGTGGTGTATGTATATTACACACACACACACACACACACACACACACACACAAATATTAGCCATAAAAAAGAACAAAGTCTTGCCATTTGCAGTGACGTAGATGGAGCTAGAGAGTATTATGCTAAGTGAAATAAGTCAGAGAAAGACAAATATGATTTAAATCATGTGGAAATTAAGAAACAAATATGATGACCATGGTGGAGAGAAAGGGATGAAACCCAAGAAACAGACTCTTAACTGTAGAGAACAAACTGATCATTACTAGAGGGGAAGTGGGCAGGGTGTGAGTTAAATGGTTGATGGGTATTAAGGAGGGCACTTGTGACGAGCACTGGGTGTTGTATGTAAGTGATGAATCACTAAATTCTATACCTGAAACTTATACTGTATGTTAACTAACTGGAATTTAAATAAAACCCTGGGGAAAAAACCACAGTGCTGTCCTAGGAAAACATCATACAGATACATCAAGATATATCCTCATAAAGTAATTGGAATTTTTAAATAAAAGATACATTTGTACATACTTCTAGGCCATAACATTAAGTCCTCTATTATGTAAGAGATTCTCAGGCTGGTTTTAAATTTCTTCCTAACAACATGCAGTTCTATAATTGAGCATAGCAATCAATGTCTATATGGACATCAGAGAGAGAATGTGACCCATGAATTGTACAACATCCCAATTACAATTCAAGTATAAACACATTTAACAGATAATTTTAAACATGCAAGATAGTAGGAAATATGGTTCCCATGGGCCCTTCTTAAAAAAAAAACTTCTAGAAGATAGCTTTGAGGTAAGTAAGCAATGAATGGAAAAATGGATAAAAGGACTATTTTGAGAAGATGGTCCATTTAAATGTGGAACTATGACTAATTGACTATAGGAATTACGACTTCATAAAAAAAGCAGGTAAATGCTATAAACCTTGACAATGAAGAAATAGCATTGTAACAAACAATAGTTGAGAAATAATAGAGACTGACAGAGAAGGTCAGAGGTAAAATAAGTATACTAATTTCCTTATGGCTTGAAGTGTGTGAGGGGTCAATAGACCCTGTTCATAGATGACAAACCAAGTATTAGATGGATAAATATATTTCAAGGATACAAAGGCAACAACTAGACTAAGTATAATAATAAAACCAGCCAAAACTTCCTATGATAGAGTTGATATAGTTATTAGAAATATGCTTATTTCTTCATAATTTATAGCAAGGAGTTAATAAATTTTATCTAAATAGTGAAAACCTATTCTAAAATTTTGCCAACTCACCAGTCTGTATTCTATGAAATATATCTTTTCCTCCAGTTTGAAAAATCTTCATTATCTTTTCTCTTCTCCATGATTCTTCATATTACTGGAATGGTTCTGGGACCACATCTACCAGTTCTTTTTAGCATCTTTGGATAGTCTTCATCTAGATCTAGAGATCTGAACTCTTTTAAAGCAGCCAAGGACAATAATCTTGATTTCATGGTATTTGTGTTTTATTCATACCAACCCTAGTTGGTTTATTGTTTTTTTTCTTTTTACCTCTTTCCCATTGCTCCACCAATCCAACTAACATTTATTCAGCTTTTGTTACGAATCAGGTGCTATGCAAGAATGTTGGCTAGTTAGAAATATGATGCAGACAAGACCCTGCCCTCAAGATATTCAGTCTAGTGAGGAGGCAGATAAACAACTCTAATATAAATACAGGATTTAAATGGTAGAAACACCCTTCCCCTACCACAAGAAAAGCTAAAACTATCTGGATGATTCTTGAAAGATTCTATGGAGAAAATAGCATTTCATCTGGGTCTTGAAGAATGAGTAGATCTTCATAGGAAAAGAACATGCTAGGTAGAATGTAAAAAAAAAAAAAAGCAAAGACACAGAAGGAATAATGATCACTTTAGTTTGACTGTAATGGGAATATACTGAAAAGTGAGGAGCATAGTTGGCCCCGGAGATTGTGCCCTTTTTTGGGTGGCTTTATAAATACAGTGTATTCCCCTTGAGTCTAGTAGTAGTATCATACTTATGGTTAGTCCCTTGTCACAAGACATCAACACTCCATGACCTACTCTCTTTCCTTTGTCCCCAGCAAACACTCCTCATTGCCAAGAAACACTCCAGTTGAGAATTGGATTGATGACCCCAGTGAATAGCACACAGCCTTGGCCAGTTCCCACAGGCTGCAGGCTGCCCACTCCTGGTTCCAATACAGTTCTCTCAGGGAGTGCTTCCCAGCTCCCACCTTTGCTGTATCTCACCTTCATCTCCAGTGCCTCTGGCACCTTCTTGCCTTCCCAAGCCCAGCTCCGCTTGGTGAAGTAGTTAACAGTGGCAAATTCAATCAGCGCAGAAAATACAAAGGCATAACAGACGGCTATGAACCAATCCATGGCCGTCGCATATGCCACTTTAGGTAAGGAGTTTCTGGCACTGATACTCAAGGTGGTCATGGTGAGAACAGTGGTGACACCTGCGGAGAGAGAAAATGAGAATCAGTTGCCACTGGAAGACATTTAGAGCATATGTGATGAGGTTACCAACTTCCTACTTACAAGGAGGAGCTACAACCCACTCAAAATGGCCCTCTTAAAGTAAAATACAGAGAATGTCAATGTGGGATGGTTCTACCTATTAACTACCACATCCTAGTTATCACAGGAATAGGAAGCTCCAGTAAAGCACCTTTCAAAGTTGTCCTGTAGTGGCACCTGGGTGGCTCAGTCGGTTAAGTATCTGACTTCAGCTCACGTCATGATCTCATGGATCATGAGTTTGAGCCCTGCATTGGGCTCTGTACTGACAGCTCAGAGCCTGGAGCATGCTTCAGATTCTGTGTCTCCCTCTCTTTCTCTGCCCCTTCCCTACTCATAGTCTGTCTCTACTTCAAAAATAAACATTAAAAAAATAAAAGTTGTCCAGTAGTCTCTGCTTAAACATTTCTATTGAAAAACAGGTAACCTATTTCATTGTAACAGCACTTTTTAATTAGGAAACCCTAACTTCATAAGAAAATCTTCTTTAATTAGAAAACCTTCAGTGTGAGCTGAAACCTGCCTTCCTCTAACTCCTAGCCCACTGATCTTAGAGTTCTTTCTCTGGCAACACAGGAAAGAAAAGCCTGCTTCCTCCTCTCTAGGACAGGCCTTTAGGGAGTTGGAGATGGTGGCCATGATTCATCATGAATCTGTTACTCTCTAGAATGAACACAGCCTCTTTCTTCTCTTGTTTCTCCTCCTTCCCCATTCTGGTAGTTTTCTTTTGAACACCCCAGAGCTAAGCTCAACAGTCAGAATTTTCACTTCCCTTACTGTGGACACTATTCTCCTAATACTGTAATAAACCACTGTAGAAAATGGTTCTTTAACTGAATCAAAGTCTTTGTCCTATTGAACTTTGTGGACAACCAAGGTTATTCCAATATCTCTATACCCTAGAATTTTGACAAGACAGTTGTTATACCCAAAATTATCCAGGCTTGAGGACAGGGGAGTAGTCAGACCCTCTTTCTGAGTATTGACATGCTCAGCAGGATAGGAAATGTAAGTCTGAGTCAAGTAGGGCATAGAAAGAAGTCCTACTCTCGTGAGAGATACTATATAGAAAAGCAAGCAGATAAGGCCTATTAACTCTACCCAGAGAGTCAGCCAGGTGTGCTGCAGCCTCTTTGGCCTTCTTTCACATCTTGCTCCCTCAAATATCTTACTTATGCATCTGCTATACAAATGAAAATCCAGACTGGAAAAGACTTAGTACAGTTTCAACAGAGAGATCCTAAAGAAGCACCTTTCTACAAACCAGGTAGAAAGCAAGGCTGATTGGCAAAACCAAATTTTAAGCCCTATCAGGAATCAGCCACATAGCCAGTATCTATTAACAAACTATCTGAATATGTTGCCGGTAAGTTCTGGGACTGAAACTAAGGCTTAGTAATTCTCTGACTATACTGGGCAAAAAGTGATTCATGGGAGAAGCAAGCTACCTTACTTATGGTTATTAGTAAATGCAGTTGTCTACCCTGGCACAGTCATAGCAGTGTGCCTATGCACGGATTGAGAGAAATATACTGCAACATGAGTGTTTCTGTCCCACATCTCAGTAGAAATTTTTAGAGTTCTAGCCTCTAAAGCTTCACTAGAATAGTCATCTTGTGAAGAAATCTTAGCTAAGCAGCTGGTAGAATGCTCAGTTACATTTTATGAATGAACAATGAGGCTTGGCATTTTAAGAGATCCAGACTTACCACCCAGTGCTTCTCTTTCAAGACTCTTCTAGAAAGTATTTTGTGACTGCTCCATCTCACTTCCTTGAGCACTTCTAAAAATCTAGAACACTTCTTTGATAACACATGTCTGTCTGTACTACCAAAGAAGGAATTGCTTGAGAATAGGGATCATGAGTAATCTGTCTCTATCCCCTCAGCCCTGAATATAATACCTGGCACAGAGTAAGCCCCTAGTACATGTGTGATGAGTGAAACTTCTCTACTCTCCCTGGCCCCAGATAACTACTTCTCTGCTTTCCTTCAGTATGGTTAGATTTTTTCCCTTAGAGTTTCATACATATCATACAGTATGTACTCATGTGTGTTTGACTTTCCTCACTTGGCATAGTTTTCTTTAAATTCATTCATGTTGTTGCATCTATCTTTAGTTCATTTCTGTTCATTTCAGAGTAGCATTCTATGCACTAATATAACAATTTGTTTATACATTCACCTATTAATGGGCATCTGGACTATTTCCAATGTTCAACTATTATGAATGAAGCTGCTGGGAAGATTTACATATAAGTCTTTGTGTGAGCATGTGTTTTCATTTTTCTTAGTAAACACTTAGGGATGGAACTACATGATTATATTGTAAGCATATGTTTAACTATAGGATACGGCCAAACAGTTTTTTTAAAGTGCTTGTACCATTTAACATTCCCATTAGATGTATGAGTTTTAGTCAGCATGAACCTTTGACTTATGAAAATTTAATATTACTTGGTACCTTTACACATTTCACTGACAAGGAAAGTCCTTAGAACACCTTATTTCCATCTCAACTTACATACACTGCATTATGGTCTAGTCTTTTATTCTAAATATATCATATACCCAATAAGCCACTGTTATTATTTTATACATTCAATAGTCATTTAGCATTCCTCACATATTTGTTATTTTCATTGTTAAAATGCATCTAAAACTATCCTTCTGGGATAATTTTCCTTTTTAATTTTTTTAACATTTATTTATTTTTGAGAGACAGAGAGAGGCAGAGAATGGACAGGGAAGGGACAGAGAGAAAGGCAGATAGAGAATTTGAAGCAGGCTTCAGGCTCTGAGCTATTTGACAGCACAGAGCCTGATGTGGGGCTGAAACTCACAAACCATGAGATCATGACCTGAGCTGAAGTTGGACACTCAACCAACTGAGCTACCCATGCTCCCCAAATTTTCCTTTTTCTTAAAGAACTCCCTTTAGTGAGGGTTTGACAATAGTGAATTTTTAATTTTATCTTTTTATCTTAAAAGGTCTTTATTGTTTCTATTGAAGTCATCTGGTAATCTATCATTACTTTAAAGGAAGTGTGCTTTTTTTTTTCTAGGCTAAAGGTTTTACTCTTTGTTTCCAAAAGTTTCACTATAATATGTCTCTGTTTATCTCTTTTAATTTATCCTACTAGGTTCATAGAGCTTTTTGTAATTGTACCTTTATGTCCTTTCTCAGGCTTGGACAGGGTTCAACCATGATCTCTTCAAAAATCGCCTCTATACCATTCTCTCACTTTTCTTCTAGGATTCCATTATGTCTGTGTTAAACTTTCTCAATAAATCATATATTATGTCTCTTCTGCATTGTACACATTTTTGTCTTTCTGGGCCACATTCTCGAAATTTTTCTTTTTCAGTTCATGGGTTCTTCCTTCAACTATATCTAAACCACTAATTTTTTATCTGTATTTTCCTGTTTTAGAATTTCCATTGTGCTTGTTCTCTCACGTGTGCTCTTTCTCTCTATGCAAACACACTGTTTATATGATAGAATTCTTATATTAATTTCACCTACTTACACATGTTCATCATAGCTATTTTAAAGTTTGATAACTCAATTATCTGAAGTTCTAGTAGGTCAATGGTTTTAATTGGGTTATAAATTATATACAATAAAATAAAAAGAGTTTTTTGTACATTTCTTTTTTGTGTTGTACATTTCAAAGTTTTTGGGCAAACGTATACAGTTATATAACTAATACCCCAATGAAGATATGGAATATTCTACTAAACCAGTAAGTTTTATTATACTCATTTTCAGTCAATCCACCACCTCAAAGGAAAGAAATGCTTTGGTTTCTAACACCATAGCTTAGTTTTGCCTGTTTTGGAATTTCATATAAATGAAATCATATATTATGTACTATTTTGTGTCTGCTTAGTTTGTCATAATTTTTGAGATTCACTTATATTGCTATATGAATCAATAGTTGTCAATTCACTGTATGAATATGCCACAATATAAACACACATTCACTTGTTGATGTACATCTGGATATTTTCCAATTTGGGATTTTATGAATAAAGCTATTATGAACATTCTTGTATAAACCTTTTATGGATATATGTTTTCAAATCACTTGGGTATAAAGTGAAATACCTTTTTTACCTTTTAAGAAATAGCCAAATTTTTTTCCTAAGTGATTGCTCCATTTTACAACCTCACCAGAAGTGTGAGATTGTTCCTCAACCTCACAAATATTTGCAATTGTCATTCTTTTTAATTTTTGCCACTCTAGTACTTATAAAGTGATATCCCCATGTAGCTTTAATTTATATTTTCCTGATAGTATCTTTTCATGTTCTTATGGAGTGTTTACATATATTCTTGGTGAAATGTCTTTTCATGAATTTTTCCTATTTTAAAAATTAGGTTCTTTATATTTTTATCACTGAATTTTAGGATCTCCTTATAATTTTTGAATAGATGCTTTGTCAGATCTGTACATATATAAAATATATTCTTCCAGTCTATGGCTTGCCTGTTCGTTTTCTTAATGCTATTCATTTAATAGCAGAAAATTTTAATTTTGACAAAGTCCAATTTATTATTTTATTCTTCACTTTATTTTTTTGTATACTAAGGAATTTCTGCATTCCAGAGGTTACAAAGACATTGTCTTATATTTAGTTCTAAGAGAATGACATTTTTAGCTTTTATATTTAAGCCTATTATCAATCTCAAATTAATTCTCTGCAATGCCATCTGTGTCATGAATCAAGTTTTCATATATGTGGATCTACTCTTACTCTTTCTGTAGTGTCTATTTTTCTTTCACTTATGCCTATAACATGCTATCGTAATTACTATAGCTTTTTAGTCATTTTTGATATCTCATGTGGCAAGTCCCTCTACTTTATTCTTCTTATTTAGGAGGATATTGACTTTTCTTGGCTCTTTGTTATTTCATAAAATTCTGCAATCCCTTTTTAAATTAATATTTTATTTTAAAATGGTTGAAGTTTTTACATCAATACAGTTATTGTAAAAAAAACCTCTAAACTCAGGTGAGGCCAGGTTTAAATTTAAAAAAATAAGAAAAAAATTTCTTAAGGAATCTTATATTTTACACAGAGCTCAGGCCAAAATAGACATGCCTCCTTATTGTCTCCCTGATTACTATATTTTTCTAGTGCTCTTTCTAGGGCATAACCCTTAAATGGTATTGGATTTATGAGATGAATCCTCGTATTAGTTTCCTATGGCTTGTGTAAAAAATGACCACACATTTAGTGGCTTAAAACAACACAAATATTTTTTCTTACACTTCTGGAGACCAGAAGTCTGGCAGTTTTATGGGCCCTCTCCTCTTTCAAAGCCAACAGCATAGCATCTTCACATTTCTCCCGCTTTTTTCATCACACTGCCTTCTGCTCTGTAGTCAAATATCTCTCTGCCTCCCTCTTATAAGGACACATGATTATATTTAGGGCCCATCCAGATAATCCAGTATAATCTCTCCATCTCAATATTTTTAATTTAGTGCATATCTGCAACATCTCTTTTGCTCTATAGGGTAACATTCACAGATTCCAGACATTAAGACATGGATATATTGGGGGGGGGGGACATTATTTAGTCTACCACAGCCCTAGTTCTAATCCTAAACTTCACTCAGGCTCAAATCTTTTCTTATGTAACCTTAGAACTTACAGCCTTATTGGGGCACCTGGCTGGCTCCCTTGGTTTAGCATCTGACTCTTGGTTTCCTCTCAGGTCATGATCTTGAGGTTTTGTGAGTTGAGCCCCCACATCTGCACATTTGCGCTGTCAGCACAGAGCCTCTTTGGAATCTCTCCCTCTATCTCTGTCCCTCCCCCACTTGTGCTCAGGTGCTCCCTCCATGCTCACCCGCGCTAGCTCGCTCGCTCTCTCTCCCCTCCAACTCCCTCCCTCCCTCAAAATAAATAAACTTTAAAAAACCTCAACCTCTTATTTACCAAGACTAGTAGTCCATCTACCCATCTTCCAACTATAACAGTATCAACTCACAGATTACCACCCCAATTTTTAGCTCCCTCTTCCATTTGGACCCCTGAGTATTTCCGTTAATTTCTTAATATCTCACAGATTTAAAAAGAATGTTTTCTATGTTTTATCTAGCTTTTCTAGAATTTTGTGGAGGGAGACTTTCAGGGTGTCTAGTTTGTTATATTTCTAAAAATCATTGACTCCTATATGATGCTGCTCCCTCCACTTCACCAGAACCGTTCAAGATTATTCACAACCAAGCATATCATGATACTCGACAGTTTCTATATGCATCTTACCTAAAAACACAGAATTTACACAAGATGATTATTCCCTGCTTCTTGAAACATTTTCCTCTTGACTTCCATGATACCACATGCTTATAGTTATTTCTTTTTTTTCTACTTTACAGCTTACTCTTTATCTTTCTCTACCACTATCTCTTCTACCTGACCTAAAATGCTGCTTCTTTCTAAAACATCATTTACTACTCACCTACACAGTATAGCTTCAGGATATCAACAGGAAATATTGGCCTTCTGTGTGGATAATCGGTATATCTATTGTATGCCTCACAGCCACCACTACCATGAAGGCAGGTTAGTAGACTAAAAAGAGTGAGTATTTGTCTCCTAAAAATGTTTACAGTGGGGAAAACAGGCAGAATATGTTTTATATGTTTAAGTCTTCCAGGGGAAAATGCTAATGATATGCAAATCTCTTTTTAGACATTGGTAAATTTATATTAAAGAAAATTTTCCTGATTGTAGGTACTATTGAAAAACCCTTCAGCTTTGTGTACCCTTTACTGATAATTTGCACTTTAAAAGAGCTAGAGGAGAAACATTAATGTCAGATGATTATGCAAAAAAGTTGGATCATAGAAAAGCACCCAGTCCACTTCTTTGTTGTCAACTTAGTTTCTCACTTCTCACCTTCTCCAGGTCTGCACACTAATTTTCTCTTTTTTTCACTGAAGGCTCAATCCCTCCCCATTTCCAAAAGCAAACTTGACTGAGACAGGAAACATTTTAGTAAACTTACTACTCCAACATTTTTTTAAAATTTATTTTAATGTTTGTTTTTGAGAGAGAGAGAGAGAGAGAGATCAGTCATGAGTGGGGAAGGGGCAGAGAGTCAGAAACACAGAATCTGAAGCAGACTCCAGACTCTGAGCTTTCAGCAGAGCCTAGTGCGAACCTCAAACTCACGAACTGTGAGATAATGACCTGAGCTGTAGTTGAATGCTCAACCAACTGAGCCACCCAGGTGCCCCCAACACTCATCTTGTTCCCACTTTTTTGTTAAGAATACAGTTGTCTGAAATACCAGGATCTGATGACTCACTTACTAATGCTGGGCCCAGGCATTGCTCCCATCCACTTTCCATATCCCTCCCCTGATAGTCCATCATAAGACTTAGCAAATGCTCTCACCTCCTCATTCTCCATAAAACAACACTCACCAAAGACCGTGCGGGCAGGGACAGACTCTCTGTTGAGCCAGAAAGACACTTGTGACAGAATGACAGTCATGATACATGGCAAGTAGGTCTGGATCACAAAGTAGCCAATTTTTCGCTTGAGATGGAAGTGGGTTGTCATGACGACATATTCTCCTGGAGAGAGTAAAATTAGGTAATAAGTAGCTGAATAAACATTGTTAAATCAAGGTGGGCCCCAATTCAGTACATCAAGCTCTATAACCTTATATCCAAAACAAGACATTCCAGCACCTACCAAGTTAACATAACCAGATCTCTTTAATAGTCATCAACAATGCATTTTTTTGTGTGAAAATATATGCTAATACTATATCAACACAGCTTGCTCAGAGTAATTTTGACACAGAGTCATTCAAATACATTAGTGTACTCATTTAAATAGTAATAAATAACATTCTTTTCTATAGCATTTGCTATGTGATTGGCACTCTTCTAGCACTTTAACATTCTTAACATACTTAATGTTCACAACCAATCCTATAAGGTAGATACTATTGTTATCCTCATTTTATAGGCCAATAAACTGAGGCAAAGAGAGATTGAGCAACTTTTATAAGATTACATATCTACTAAGCAACGGAGCCAGAATTCAAGGCCAGATGGGTTGGTTCCACCACTATGCTTTTTAACCACTATGTTCTGCTGTTTGAATGGACTTAAAGGGTTAGAACCAAAAGTTCATATAGCAGAATGTGGGCTGGCCTAAATCACCCCACTTCAAAACTAGCATGAACACTTATTGAGCTCTTACTATCTGCCAAACAACTTTGACTGTTTGGGGAGTAGTAACTTTACATCCTCCCAGCAACCCTGTAAGGTAGACATTAATTATTACCACATGTTATTAAATCCTATAGTTAATTATTAGTCTTACTGGATTTGTCAGCAGCATTTTACATAGATGAGCACTCCATCCACCTGGAATGACTCTTTTCACCAAACTTCACGATGCTTTTCTGGTTTCCATCCTATATTTCCAGTCTCCTTTGCTGGTTCCTTCAAATTTCTAAACACTTGAGGATGTCAGGACTCAACACTAGTACTATTTTCTGCCTCATTCACTTCCTTGGCTTTCTCATCCAGCCTGTCTTTGAAAAGTATCTTCTTCCTGGGCTTCCTACTTGTTATGGGTTGAATTGTGTCTCCCGGAAAGATATGGTGAAGTCCTAACTCTGAGTACTTCAGAATTTAATCTTCTTTAGAAATGGGGTTGTTGCAAGTATAATTAGTTAAGGCGAGGTCATACTGGACTAGGATGGTCTCAATCCATTATGATGGATGTTCATATAAAAAGAAAACAGACACACACAGGGAGATGTATAATGATGTGATGACAGAGATGGAGATTGGAGAGATATATCCACTAGCCATGGAATGCCAAAAATTGCTGGCAACAATCATTGACTTCTCTCTCTCCTTCCTTCTTTCATGTATGCACCTGTGTGTGCTCAGATCCCAATCAATCAGCAAACCCTGAAGGTTCTTCAAAATCTATTCATAATCTGACCACTTCTCAGTATCCCCACTACTGCCCCTCTGGTGTAAGCTGCCATCATCTTGTACCTAGATACTGTAATAGTTTTATAATTGGTCTTGGCCCCTTGAATGCATTCATAGCACAGCAGTCAAAATGACCATATTAAAATATAAATCAGATTTGATCTCTCTTTTCCATAAGACTCCAGGAGCTTGCCATCTCTCAAAGAGTTAAAAAAAAAAAAAAAAAGTGAAATCCCCCCAAAATAGTCCCCAAATAGACGTATGCAATCTGATTGCTCTACTATTTTATTTATGAGAGCTTCTTATTTTTCATTTCTCTCCCTTCACCCACATTTGGTTTTGGGAGGTCTCCCATAAGGCAATTTCCCACTTTCCTACCCCACCCACTCTCTTGTACCTAAGCATAGAAAGCAGCATCTGGTCATCCAAAGCTCAATATACAATCCATATTGTGTGTGTATTCACATTCCAACTTGTTTATGTGAACATGGAAAATACAAATTGCCTTATTGTTAATTTAGCAATGAATTCTGATATAAAATTATAGAATGTGTTCTTCATTATAATTTTGGAGTTTCTTTTGTAGTTCTCTTTCCTTTTTCAGTCCTTTTATTTCTGCATTTGTTCCTCACACTCTCCTGCTCCCACCTTATCCCCCTCTGCTGTTTTCATTTCTACTCCTTTCTCTACCCATTCTTCCCTTCAGTCTCTCTCTCTCCACTGAAAATGCTTTGAATACTCATTTTTAATGAGATTAGGACTTTGATTAGCTAGGGTAGTTTTCCCCCTCCCCATCGTAGTCTCACACCTCTAAACTCCTGTCTATTAATCCTGTAACTGATCATGTGGAATATTTAATATATAAAATATATAATAAATGCTATTCATAAATTATATTTTGTAGATCTCAAAGACAAAGCAAGTGAATTTTCCAAAAACTTATCAAATTAGCCATTTGTTTTATTATGTTTTTTTTCTTTCATAGTTTATTGTCAAGTTGGATTCCATATAACACCCAGTGCTCATCCCAACAAGTGCCCTCCTCCATGCCCAATACCCCCATTCCACTCTTCCCCCCATCAGTCCTCAGTTTGTTCTCAGTATTCAAGAATCTCTCATGGTTTTAGCCATTTGTTTTAAATAACTGAATTTATTTTCTTCAATATTCTTTTTCTACCCTTATTTCTTTCAATTTTTATCTTCCTGTTTTACTTCCAAAGTAGCAAAGACCATGCCTAAGATGAGCAAGATGGTGGAATCAAGCATCCAGTATTCCATCACAAATATATGGATTAGCACCTATTTACAGATAATAATACCTTTTTGAAAATCCCAGAACCTGGGAGTAAAACAGAAGCATCCTTTGGTGCACAAAATCCAAGAAAAGTCACATTAGAAAGGTAAGAGAAGTGCCTTCACTTTGCCACCTTCTTCTCTCCCCCAAACCAGCCCAATGTATCACCGAGAGGGTTCCTCAGGGTCTATGGTTTCTCTAGAGGAAAAGGAGAGACTAAGGTGGATATATCCTGTTTCCCCAGCATTCCAGAGCATTGCCCTGGAAACATACTTCTGCCTTGCCTCATGGAGAATACTGGAAGAATCAGCAGGGCTAGATCATTTGGGGTCAACTAGGAACAAAAAGGGGGGTGATGGTGAAATACAGCCACCTGTGTATGGATCTTGGCTGTGATACCAGGTCCCTGCTAGCAACCTCACTGATCAGAGTCCAGCCAGCAGTCTATCCCCACCTGTGCAGGGAATCCAACCTCTGAAAGAGGTCTGCAGCTCTGGCAAACAGATGAATACAGGCAAAGGTACCAACCAACAGCAGAGTTTGGTCTAACAGCACAACCCCAGTAGAGGCCTTACCCAATGATGGTAGTCTACGCAAAAGGATCACACCCCTTGGTATCCAGGTGTCCCCACCCACAAGATGGTGATGCCCACAGGTCCAAAATGCTATGGCTTTCTTGCCTGGGGGTCATGGTGACCCCCACTACCAAAATAGAGACCTCCACAGGTCAACACCCACTGGCTACACTGCCAAATGGGAAGGGGGGTCATGGAGCTCTGCTCACCAAAATGGTAATCTCCATGAGTTGAAACAGGCCTACTGTAATACCTAGGGATCCCCACTCCCCCAAGCAGTAGAGTATGCCAGGGTTGACCTGTGTTTCAAAAGAGCAGGGTACCCAACTGATAGTTCCCCATGTAACAGAGGCCCCCTGGGGCCCTGCTGAAAAGTGGAGTATGCACCACTCAATAATGAATAGAAAATCTTAATAGATCAATGTGGTGCAAGGAGATATAGTCAGTAATTAAGCACCTCTTAACAAAGAAAAGCCAGGACAAAATGGCTTCATGGGTAACCAAACATTTAAGGAAGAATGAATGCCAGTCATCCTTAAACTCTTCCAAAAAACTGAAAAGGAGAAAGTGCTTCCAAACTCATTTTAGAAGGCTAGCTTTGCCCTGACACTAAAACCAGATAAAGACTCATGTGGGACGGCACTTGTTGGGATGAGCACTGGGTGTTATAAGTAAACCAACTTGACAATAAACTATTTAAGGAAAAAAGACTATGAATTAAAGAAATTACAGTTGACTCTTAAATAACACTGGGGTTAAGGGGCACCAAACCTCTACACGATGGAAAATCTGCCTACAACTTCTGACTCCCCAAAAACTTAACTACTAATAGCTTACTGTTGATTAGAAGCCTTACCAATAACAGTGGATTAACACACATTGTGTATATTATAAGTATCATATACTGTATTCTTACAATAAAACTAGGGTAAAGAAAATCATAAGGAAGAGAAAATAAATTTACAGTACTGTACTGTATTTATTGATACCATAAGTTTACCTCATCTGTTTATAAGACAAACCATCTGTTAGTACCTACATCAATATTATGTAATACAAAACACTGCAAATGTTATACATGTTACTGACACTAGACATCAAAAATGAAAATACATAAAAAAGAAATTAATATTTGTTTACAAGTATAACAATTCATGCATTGATAACAAAGAAGCAGCAATATGATTGCTTTATGGTAGCCTAGTGTAATCAATACAATTACTTTATGGTGGCTTATCCTTTACACTGATGGACGAATCATCATAAAAGTTTTATTTCATATAGTATTATAGTCATATTCATAATGTAGTATTGGAAACACTGTTACTTTAAAATGCATGCTTGTGATGATAGGCTGATAGGCATTGTCTCCAATTACAAGAGAGAATTGCTGAATGGTAATGTAATTCTTTGAAAGCAAAGTTATAAAACAAACACATTATTAATTTTATATTAAATATCACTCATTTTATGACTATTCATCTATGCCTGAATAGGCTATCCAGTTCCATACAAGTCTTGCACATGATGTTCTTCACAATGAATATTTAGGTAATGATGATGACACAAAAATGTCTCATACAGTTCTTGCTGTACAGCTATTAGATGTTCACATGAAGACACAAACACACAACAGATAGGATTTGTAACTGTATGCAATGATGATTATTTACAGTTCATTGAGTGGAATTGGATCATTGTAAAGGTCTTCATCCTTGTCTTCATGTTGAGTAGGTGGAGGAAGA